GCAGGCCGCGTGAGTCCATGCCAAATTGTCTACTTGCTGATTTCTGCAAGGCGGCGGGCCCATAGCGGCGCCCCCCCCCTCGCGTGGCGGCACCTGTAGCCTTTGCCTAGGCTAGGCGCAAGACTACCTGTGCACCCAGCCACCTTGGCTCGCCAACTGGCTTGCCATCTCGGCCTCCTCACGTTCACTTGCGCTCGTTGGCCTCGCTGGCGGTGCTGGGACAGCCCCGTGCACTGCAGCGTCGCCGTCGGGCGCCTGGCCATTTTGGCCTGCCATCCTGGCCTCGTCTCGCGCCTTCTTGCGCTTGTAGGCTTGGGTGGCGGTACTGGGGTCGCCCCGTGTGCTGCTATGCTGCCGCCTGCGCCTTACTTTTTGCTGTAGGGACCAGCTGCCCTCGGCCAGGCGCCAGCTGCTGCATGCACGTCAGACCCGCCCTTGGCTTGCCATCCAGGCCTTGCCTCGCGCCTTCCCGCGCTAGTCGGCCTGGGTGGCGGTACTGGGGTCGCCCCGTGTGCTGCTGTGCCGTTGCTGGCGCTTCACTCTGGGCTGTTAGCACAACTGCCCACGGTGCGAGCGCCTGACGTTGCAAGCATGTCAGACCCGCCCTTTCACCCAGAAGAGGTGCGCGCTACATACTGGCAATGAGGCAGCCACAAGGACGCTCTTCCCTAGGTGGTTGAGCCGTGGTGATGTGGTGCACGAGGCCGCCAGTAGTAGTAGTAGTAGTAGTAGTAGTAGTAGTAGTAGTAGTAGTAGTAGTAGTAGTAGTAGTAGTAGTAGTAGTAGTAGTAGTAGTAGTAGTAGTAGTCGTTAGTAGTAGTAGTAGTAGTAGTAGTAGTAGTAGTAGTAGTAGTAGTAGTAGTAATCGTAGTAGTAGTAACAGTAGTAGTAGCAGTAGTAGTAGGTAGTAGTATTAGTGGTAGTTAGTAATAGTAGTAGTAATAGTAGTAGTAATAGTAGTAGTAGTATAGTAGTAGTAGTTAGTAGTAGTAGCAGTTAGCAGTAGCAGTAGCAGTAGCAGTAGCAGTAGCAGTAGTAGTAGTAGTAGTAGTAGTAGTAGTAGTAGTAGTAGTTCTAGTGGTGGTGGTGATGGTGGAGCTGGTGGTACTGCTGCTGCTGGTAGTTGCGGTAAGTAGGTAGGTAGGTTGGCAGGCAGGCACGCAGGCCGGCGGGCAGACAGGGAGGCGGGTAGGTAGGTAGGCAGGTAGGCAGGTGGTAGTAGTAGTAGTACTAATAGAAATATAAATAATAATCGTAGCTGTAGTAGCAGTAGTAGTCGTAGTAGTAGTAGTAGTAGTAGTAGTAGTAGTAGTAGTAGTAGTAGTAGTAGTAGTAGTAGTAGTAGTAGTAGTAGTAGTAGTAGTAGTGGTAGTAGTAGTAGTAGTAGTAGTAGTAGTAGTAGTAGTAGTAGTAGTAGTAGTAGTAGTAGTAGTAGTAGTAGTAGTAGTAAGTAGTAGTAGTAGTGGTAGGGTAGTAGTAGTAGTAGTAGTAGTAGTAGTAGGAGTAGACGTAGTAGAGTTAGTAGTAGTAGTACTAGTAGTACTAGTAGTACTAGTAGTACTAGTAGTAGTAGTAGTAGTAGTAGTAGTAGTAGTAGTAGTAGTAGTAGTAGTAGTAGTAGTAGTAGTCGAGCAGCAGTAGTAGTAGTAGTAGTCGTAATAATAGAAGTAGGGGCGTCGTCGTCGTCCTCACGATCATCAGCATCAGCATCCTTAGCATCATATTCATCATCATCATCATCATCATCATCACCATCATCATCATCAACAACAACAACATCATCAGCATCAGCACCTTCACCACAGCCATCATTACGGCTCCAAGCCTGGAGACGGGGTGTCACGCGTGACGGCCTCCTGTGTCCCTCGAACAGTCGCCACCAAGAATGCCGGGCTGGAACGGTGGCGGGACTTGCCGCAGGCAGCTTGATGGCATAAACCTGCTTGCTGAAGCCCTTGCTAAACATCTCGTCGGCCTCATCCAGCACCAGCAGCTTCACTCGATGTACGTCCAGATTTTTCTGTTGAATCCGCCGACCCCCGCTCGCATGGGGCAGGAAGGGGTGAGATGATTGGCTGCCCCCTCCCCATTTCCCCCTCTCCAGGAGCCCCACGTCCTGTTCATGGGGGGGGCGGGGGGCGGAGGGGGGCCGGGTGCTCCTCAACGTACCTCACGGGTCCTGGGAGCCTTCAAATCTTGCGTCTCACGTCTCCAGTGCTCCAGGTGCCCTCCAAGACGGCGTCAGAACGGCTTCAATGCGCCCCAGAGGCCTACAGGAGATCCAAGATGGCCGCAAGACGGGTCAAGAAGCCCCCAAGCCGCTCCAAGAGGGCTCCGGGAGGACCATGAAAATAGCCTCAATAAGCCCAAAATACTATTGATGTTCCTCCAAGGCTTAAAGGGGCTTCGCGTTCGCGCAACTTCGGGTTTCTGAAAGCTCAAGACGGTCCAAGAGGCCCCCCACACCAGCCCGAGACAGCCTAAGAGACCCAGAAGAGGACGGAGACGGTTCAAGAGGGGCCCCAAGGCAGCCCAAGGGGCCCTCAAGCAAGAGGGCCCCAGCAGGGGAACCCGAAGGAGCTCAGGGAGCCTCCCCCTCCAAGAAGGCCCCTAAAGACCCCCACCTTGCCCCCAAGAAGCCTCAAAGAGGCCTCCAGGAAGCCCCCAAATGCCCCCAGCAGGCCTCGAAGGCTCACAAATGACTCCCACGAGACCTCCACAATGTCCCTAAGAAACCCCGCAACAGGCCACAAATGACTTCCAAAAAGCCTCGTCACCACCCGACTCCTCCACCTCACGCAAAAGAAATGGAATGACTGTAGCCACCGGATCACTCTCCTTCTGGGGGTTCGCCAGAATGGCGCACGCCTTCTTTATCATGCTGAGCAGTCGCCCAGGCGTGCCAGAAACAATATGCACTCCAGCTTTCAGCGCCTTTGGGGGGCAACGAAGTGGGGGGACTGGCTCAGGGGGGGCGGGACATCAACGGTACTTTGCCGTTAGATCGGCGACAGGCCGCTGATAGGGAATCCCGACGTTCCTGGCCGGGGTGGGCTATCGGGCCCCTCTCGGCGATCCATGGGCGATTGGACGTCGATGCATCCCCCCCTCGGCCTACCCTAACGTTGCCCCCGAAGCCTTGATCCCATCCTTGACGTTCTTCCCACCAACACAGCAGTGCAACCTGACGCCCACGTAGTCGCCAAGCGCACGACACACCTTGGCGCTCTGCTCCGCCAGCTCGCGCGTCGGGGACAGCAGCAGGGCCTGCGGCTCCGCCACCGCCACGGAGACTGCCTGCAGGGCGCCGAGGCAGAACACCGTGGTCTTGCCGGTGCCGCTCTGGGACTGCACCACCACGTCCCGCCCGGCCAAGATCGGCAAGATGGCACGCTTCTGCACGGCCGAGGGGCTGTCAAAACCGTAGGCATACACGCCCCGGATCACCTCGTCCCGCAGGCCCATCTGGTCGAAGGTGCGGGCCTCCTTGACAGCCTCGGACGCCTCGAAGACCAGGCCGTCATCGCCCAGGCCCGCCATCGCTGGGGCTAGTCGCCGCGGACCCAGCTGGTCTGGACGCGAGGCCTTGAGCCACGCTACGGACTCATTTGCCCTCTTCTGGTCAGCGCAGCTTTGCACATTGTATCCGCTGGGAGCGGCCTACCATGGAACGAACGCTCTCGCTGCGCCCGATCAGATGCAGAGGACGGAGAAGGAAGCAGCAGGTGTAGACCCACGACGAGTGATTCTTCCGACACGTGGAACCCCGAGGTCTCGCCCCTTTCCGTGACCGGTTTGTCATCCGGGGTTCTTCTACGGTACGGGGGCCCGGCAAGGGCTCCCCGAGGCAAAAAATGGCGCACTCTGGCGCCGCTACTTTTCCACGACGCGAGGGGGTCTTGGGAGGGCAGGGGGAGGCGGGGCGGGGCGGCGGGGGGGGGGGCAGGGCGGAGGCGGGAAAAGAAGGGCAGGGTGAAGCCCGCAGGCCTGCCCCGCTCACGCCAGCGCCCCCGAAGGATGCAGGGCCGCTGCCGCTCGACCTCAGCAGCGCAGCGGGAGCGGGTGCCGCCAGAGGGGGGCAGAACAACTGGACCCTCGTAACAAGCACACCCACAGGCGAAGCCTCTGGTGAACGCGCAGGGCCTGAAAGCAGGGCAGGACCGGGACTCGAACAGGGAATCGAGCAGGGCAGGACCGTTCAGGAAACGCACGCGGCTTTTCAGAACACGCCAGCTATGGGGGTCGGGGTGTTCCCTCCTCCGCGGATTCGCGGGACACGATGAGGTCGCACTCCCAGCCTTTCACGTCAAGATATCACGGCGGACAGTCTTGCACCGCTTGCGACCTCTGCGGGGCCCTTACCGGGCCCCGGGACAGTCAAGAAGTAGGCGGGGATGAAAGGCCGCAGCTCCGGGGCAGGTGTCGAGACCTCCAGGGGGCCCACGCTGTGAACAGAGCACGACGTCGGGGGCATGGGTAGTACACAAGGTGCACTGCTTCTTGGTCATCTCGGTTTTCTCATCTTGGCGGTGATGCGGGGAAACACGCAGATGCAGGCAACACACACACACACAACACACACAACACAACACATGTGTGATGTTCCGCGTCCCATCGTCTCGGTTCGGTGATGTTCTCCTGTTGGTGTGGTTTCCTGTTGGTCATCTTGGTGTGTTTTCTCCTGTTGGTGACCCCCCTATGTGCTTTTCCAGAGGGGGGGCCAGGAGGCCCCAAGAGGCCCCCAGGGGTTCCCGAAGAGGTCCCAAGCCCCCAAGAGACTCCCCAAGAGACCCCAAGCTACTTCCAGAGGCCTGTCCTCCACGGCCCAGGCACCGTGGCAGGCTGCACTGTGTGGGGTGCAGTCGGAGTGCGCAGGAACGCCCAGGGCCCCACACGGCGTGCCGGAAAACCCGGGGCCGACTGGGGCCCCACCGGGGTCCAACGAGCCTCCGATCACGGAGACGGCGGCGACGTGCGGCAACCCGGCGGCCGGGGAGGCCCGAAGCGCAGGGGTGGGGGGGCCCAGGGTCCCACGCGGCGGCGGCGGCGGCGAGCAGTGCGGCAACCAGCTCCAGCGCCACTCAGAAGACAAGGAGGCAGCCTGGGAGCCCCCTTGATGCAAGCACGGTTCGAGAGAAAGCCAGCGGATTGGCAGGAAAGGCCACTTGGGAGGCCAGTCGGCCGTCGGCCGCGAGAGCACGCGAGGGCCGAGCCCGCGGGCGGCCTGGCAGCTGATGCAGCCGCACGCAGCAGTGCCGGTTGTCGGCCAGGTCGTAGGCGCTGAACACCCGCGTGGTGCGACTCGGCGGCAGGTGCCCCGTAACCCTCAGCAGCTGGTACCTGCCCAGCACCGGGCAGCCGAGGAGTTCCGCCTCGGCCTCCTCATGCGCCTCCTCCTCCTCGATCGAGGTACGGTCGGGAACTGCTGCTTAGCGTGAAACGTCGGCGGCTCCGGCCACACGCTGTGCCTTGCAATTGGATTAGCGTGTCGCTCCGCTCCGCGGGGCGGGATGCTAGGAACAGCTCGGGACGTCGACGCTTGGGAATGGGAATGTGGATGACATGTCGCGCCAAAGCGTGGTGGGCCAGAACCGGCGGAGAGACACGCTAAGCCAAAGATCTTGACCGTAAGAAGATCCAGCCGGACGATAAAGGCACGCCAATGCAGTTGTGCGTCAATTTCGGGCCAGCGTTTCGCCCCTCACGGGGCTCTTCCGAGCCAAACTGACGATCGACGCCGGGCATGTCAACGGGTATGGGAGCATTGCCCCAACACGTGTGCAAGAAGCCTCCCTCGCTGCCTCCGAAGCGAATGGGGTGAGCAATTGGACGCATCAACCTGCTGGATCGAAAGCCGAGTGGATGCGACCAGCCTCAGGGACATGCCCTTCCTCGAGGCCGCCTGCACCTGAGGTCGTCACAGTGAGCGACTTGGTATTCCAGCGTGGTGGTTCTCCGATCGTTGACAGTATGCTTCGGGTCGGGGATCTTCTCCTCCTTGGGGCAGCCGCGGGGGTGAGGGCACGCCAGTGTTATCGGGCGTGAAGGCGCCCTCCAGCCTATTGGAACACCAGACTACAGTAGGAGGGGGGGAGAGGACGTGGGGGGGGGACTGGCTCGGTACAGCTCCCAAGAGAGCCCAACACTCCCCAAGATGGCCCCAGGACCCCAAGCGGCCCTGAGGCGTCCGTCCCCAGAGGGCCCCAAGACCCCAGAAGGCGGCACCGAAAGTACGGGAGATCTATAAAAAGCCCCCCCCAATCGAAAAATCGAGGCAACCGTGCACTGCCGAGAGCGTGTCGCGCTACGGCGCACCTATAATCAAGTCTTCTCCGAGCGCGGTGTCATTCGAACGCTGCATCGCAACTATGTCTTTCCACGAACCTGCTGCGGAACCCTGCGCGAGTGGTGTCGCAAGGACGCGCGACGATGACAAAGGGAGACCTGGCTGCATACCTCGCGGCGTGAGGCATGAACCGCCGTTCCTCCCTCCTCCTTCCTCGCCCTGGCCTCCCTCTCCGCTTGCCCCGTTGCAGGAACCCGTGCGACGGGGTCGGACGACGACTGAGGCTGCGCACGCGCAGCGCAGCAGCGCCCTCGGGGCAGCCCGGCGAGCAGGGCACCGGTCCTGCAGCATGGGGAAGCTGTCGAAGCACACCTGCGGGGCGCGCGGAGAGGGCGGCGGCTCTGCCAGCCCCTGCTGCTGCTGCTGTTGCTCACGCTCGGTAGGCATCGGCACCCCAGCGGTGTGGCACGGTGCCATCTTCAGCGCGGGGGCCGAGCGAGTCTCAGGGCCAGTCCCCAGCGGCCAGCTCCTCGGGGCGCCGAGAGAGGGAGCGGCACGCGAGGCGGGAAAGGGATCTGATGGGATATGGGTATGCCCGGCCTGTGTGCTGCATCCACGCCCTCGTCGGCAGCGTCCTCGTCGGCCTCCTGATTATCCTCCTTGCCTCGCGCCACGTGACCTCTGCACCCCGCCATTCCTGCTCATCGGCAAGACCCTCTTGTCTGACGCAGAAAGGTGCCTTTCCCTGCCTGGCAAGTCAATGGGTTGCAAGGGGCCGCGCCATGTGACGTGCCAGGGAAAGTGACAGGGGCGAGCCAGAGGGCACGCCAAGGGACGTGCCAAGAAGTTCGCCAGGGGACGTGCCAAGAGACGTTTCAGGGGACATGCACGTGCGCCACGGGACATCGGGACACGCCAGGGGACGCGCCACAGGACCAGGAGACGCTTCATGGGACAGGCCAGGGGGCGTGCTAAGGGACACACCACGGAACGAGCAACAGGGCGTACCGCACGACGCACTGGGGAACGTACCATTGGACACGCCACCGAACGCGCCAAGGGACGCGACAGGCGACGCACCACGGGACGCGACGGGGGGACGTGCCAGGGGACGCGCCAGGCGGCGTGCCAGGGGACGAGTCGGAGGACGTGCTGGGGGACATGACAGGGGACCCACTGAGGGGACGTCAGGAGGCGCGCCAGGTGACATGCCAGACGACGGGCCGAGAGACGTGTTAGGGCACGTGTTAGACGACATTTCGCGTGACGTTCCATGTAACGTGCAACGATCCCTCTTAAATGATTGGATCCGCGCCCCTAAAGGCACCAGTTCATTTTGAATTGCGCAGGGTCCGCACTCCCAGCGCCACGATCTGAATTACGCTGCATCCGCACTCCCATGGCCATCACGATCCATCGTAGACTACGCTTGCTCCGAGCTCCCAGGCGCTACGATCCCTCTTAAATTGCCCTGGATCTGCACTCCCAGTGCCTCCTGAGACCTCATTACCCCGCTGTTAGTCCAGGACTCTGCGGTAGAGGGGGCCATCCTTGAGCGGGCACACACATGATCCATTTGTTCGATGTTGTAGGAATGTTCTTGGCCTCTGGACCAGACCCAATGTTTCGAGACGGATTCTGGGCGAAATCCTCGGACTTTGTAAACTGCGAAAAAAACGGTGTTATCCGGACCTTGCTATTTTTCGAGAACCCGATGAGGGGCGCATTTTCCTTGAGCGGGCACGCAGTGAACGCAACTGTTTGAAACACATATTTAACTGACCTTGTTTCCCATCGAAGATAAATCCGCCGGGCCTTCCCGCACATGGCACCAGGGGAACGGTTTTCGCGCTAAACGAAAAAAACATGGGTATACGCCCTTCCCGGGCGCAGTGGATGTGATGGACATGCAACGCGCTGTTTGAACGATCGCCTCAATGCAATCGAATGTCGGGAACCATTATCACTATCACCATGCGGTGCTATCGTACTCGTCATCCTTAACATCGCCATCGCCATCGCCATCATCATCAACATCATGATCATCGTCATCACCACCACCACCAGTCACATTGACATTAATCGGCACAGTCATACAGGGAGTTCAAACAAACAAGGATTTTCAAAAACAAGGAATTTGAAATTCAAGGTTGTCGCGTAATATCCCAGCTAAGAGGCGTGGCAGAAAACAAAACTAGGAATTCAAAAAAAAGAGTAAAGGCGCAGCGACGCGGCATGAGACAAAACAATATGTTTGCTAGCAGGATGGAACACCACGAAATTTTGTGGGAGCGCTCGGCATCGCACTCATAGTTCTGCAAGGGATTACCGCCAGTGGTTGTGCCGGCGGGTTTACTGGTGGTTGTGCTGGTGGTTGCGCTGCTGGTGGTTGTGCTACTGGTTTTTCCTGATGGTTGTGCTACTGGTTTTTCCTGATGGTTGTGCTTCTGGTTGTGCTGGTGGTGGTTGTGCTGGTGGTTGTGCTGGCAATCGTGCTGGTGGTTGTGCTGGTGGCTGCAGTGGTGGTGGCTGTGCCAGTGGTAATGCTGGTGCTCATGCTGGTGGTTGCTGGTGGTCGTGCTGGTGGTTGTGCTGGTGGTTGTGCGGGTGGTTTCGCGGGCGGTTGTGCGAGTGGTAATGCTGGTGGTTGTGCTGGTGGTTGTGCTGGTGGTTGTGCGGGTGGTTGTGCTGGTGGTTACGCTGGTGGTGATTGTGTTGGCGGTTGCGCTGGCGCTTGTGCTGGTGGTTGTGCTGGCAGTCGTGCTGGTGGTTGTGCCGGTGGTTGTGCTGGTGATCTTGCTGGTGGTTGCTGGTTGTCGTGCGGGTGGTTGTGCTTGTGGTTACGCTGGTGGTGGTTGTGCTGGTGGTTGCGCTGGTGGTTGTGCTGGTGTTTGTGCTGGTGGTTGTGCTGGTATCTGTGCTGGTGGTCGTGCGGGTGGTTGTGCTGGTGCTTGTGCGGGTGCTTGTGCTGGTGATGTTGTGCTGGTGATTGTGCCTGTGGTGGTTGTGCGGGTGGTTGTGCTGGTGGTTGTGTTGGTGGTTGTGCTGGTGGTCATGCTGGTGGTTGTGCTGGTGGTTGTGCTGGTGGCTGTGCTGGTGGCTGTGCCTGTGGTTGTGCTGGTGATCGTGCTGGTGGTCGCGCCGGTGGTGGTGCTGGTGGTTCTGATGGTGGTGGTTGTGCGGTTGGTTGTGCTGGTGGTTGTGCTGGTGTTTGTGCTAGTGGTGGTGCGGGCGGTTGTGCGGATGATGGTTCTGGTGGTTGTGTTGGCAGTCGTGGTGGTGGTTGCGCGGGTGGCTGTACGGGTGGTCGTGGTGGCGGCTGTGCGGGTGGTTGTGCTGGTGGTGGTGCGGGTGGTTGTGCGGGCGGTTGTGCTGGAGGTGATTGTGCAGATGGTTGTGCGGTTAGCTGTGCTAGTGGTCGTGCTGGTGGTTGTGCTGGTGGTTGTGCTTGTCTAGTGCTGGTGATTCTGCTGGTGGTGATTGTGCGAGTAGTTGTCCGGGTGGTTGTGCTTGTGGTTCTGCTGGTGGCTTGTGGTTGTCGTGGTGGTTGTGCTGGCTGTTAAGCTGGTGGTTGTGCGGATGGCTGGTGGTGGTTAAGCTGGAGGTTGTGCTGGTGGTTGTGATGGTGGTGATGCTGGTGGCAGTGCGGGTGGTTGAACGGGTGGTTGTGCAGGTGGTTGTTGTTGTGCTGGTGATGTTGTGCTGGTGGTTGTGCGAAAGGTTGTGCTGGTGGTTGTGCTGGTGGTTGTGCTTGTGGTTGCGCTGCTGGAGGTTGCGCTGGTGGTTGTGCGAGTGGTAGCGCTCGTGGTGGTTGTGCGGGTGGTTGTGCGTGATGTTGTGCTGGCGGTTGTGCTGGTGGTTGTGCTGGGTGTTGTGCTGGTGGCTGTGCTAGTGGTGGTTGTGCTGGTGGTTGTGCTGGTGGTCCTGCTGGAGATCGTGCTGGTATTTGTTGGGCTGGCGATTGTGCGGGTGGTTGTGCTGGTGGTGGCTGTGCGGGTTCTCGTGCTGGTGGATGTACTGTGCTGGGGGGTTGTGCGGGTGGTTGTGCGGGAGGTTGTGCTGGTGGTTCTGCTCGATGTTTTGCTGCTGCTGGTCAGTAGTGTTGATGGCAGTTGTGCTGGTGGTTGCCCTGGTGTTTGTGCTGGTGTTCCAGCATGTGGCTGTGCTGGTGGTCGCACGAGCAATCACCGCCAACACGACACGCCATCACAACCGCAAGCCCAACAACCACCAGCACAACCCTCCAGCACATCCACCACAAGCAAAACAACTTAAGAAAACCACACCCCAGCAAAACCAAACACAGCGCATCCACCATCGCAACAACCAGCGCGACCATCATCGCAACCACCAGCACAAACACCAACACGACCACCAGCACAACCACCCGCACAACCACCACGAACACCAGCACAACCACCAGCACAACCACCAGCACAACCACCGACGGAACCACCAGCAGCAAAACGTCGAGCACAACCACCAGCAGGACCACCAGCAGGACCACCAGCACAACCACCAGCACAACCACCAACGCAACCACCAGCAGGACCACCAGCAGGACCACCAGCACAACCACCAGCACAACCACCGACGCAACCACCACCAGCAAAACATCTAGCACAACCACCCGCACAACCACCAACACAACCACTAGCACAACCACCAGCACAACCACCATCGCAACCACCAACACAACCACCAGCACAACCACCGGCGCAACCACCAGCACACCAACACGACCACCCGCACAACCAAAAGCAGAATCACCAACACGACCGCCAGCACTGACAACGGCACAACCACCACCGCGACCACCCGCACAACAGCCAGCACAACCACCAGCGCAACCACCGCCGCAACCACCCTCACAACAACCAGCACAACAACCAGCACAACCACCAGCACAACCACCAGCACAACCATCAGCGCAACCACCAGCGCAACCACCAGCACGGTCACCCGCACAGCCACCACCAGCACAACCACCAGCACCACTACCCCCACAACCACCAACACAACCACCATCGCAACTACCAGCACAGCCGCCCGCACAACCACCAGTGCAACCACCAGCACAACCAACAACACGGCGATGTCATACACATCGTCATTTTTGTAACTAGGTTCGTCAGTAGACATGATTTTAACGTAGGTCCGCGAGGCTGAGGCCGGGCATGCCGTCCTGGTTGTTTGAACTCCCCGTAATGATAATCGTGGTAACTCCTGGAAGTCGGCGTCCTGTCGATGCTGCGTGGTCATCATAGCCATCGCCATTCCGAACACCCTCATCACCGTCCCCGTCGTATCCCCACAATCACAGTTCTTATTATCATTGCCATCGCCACTGTCACCGTCGCCATTACTCGTTGACGTCGTCGTCGTCGTCGTCGACGTCATCGTCGTCGTTGACATTGTCGGCGTCAGCGCCGTCGTCGACGGCGTCGACGGCGCGCGGGCCTTATCCTCCACGTTGACGGCATCCCTCAGCCGAAGGTGCTCCTGGCGCTCCCTGGCCAGCCGCCGCTCCCGCTGAGTGAGCTCCAGCTCCTGCCCGGCGGGGCTTGCGGAGGATGACAAGAGAATGCTCGGGGAGGCTTCGGGTTAAGCACAGACAGCCCCCCAGGTAGTCCCAGCTGGCCTCAACATGCCCCCCGAGTAGTACTGGCTGGCTTCAACTCAAGGGGCTACTCAAGGGGCCTGTTGAGGCAAGCGGGGACTACTCGGGGGCCTGTTGAGGCCAATTGGGATTACCTCGGGGGGCTCTCTGTGCGCAACCCGAAGCCTTACGGAGAGTGCTCTCGGGCGATCTGGCCGAGTTCTGGCACGCACAGTCCCCCCTCTCGCACACCCAGCTCGGCCCACGGGGTCCAGGGCGGCTCTGGGGAGCCAGAAGGGGCGGAGGGCGACCAGGAGGTTGACGAGATGAAGGGAGCGGAGGAGGGACAAGGAGGAGGGGGAGGAGGAGGATGGGAGGAGGATGATACGGAGGAGGAGAAACGAGGAAGAGAAAGAGAACGAGGAGGAAGAGGAGGAGGAGGAGGAGGAGGAGGAGGAGGAGGAGGACCCGCGCACTACATTATGGGGAGCGCTGTAAATTCGAGTCCTAGCTGCTGGAGCCTACAAGGCGGAAGGCTCCCGTCTAAAGCGAAGACCACCACCCGACATTCGACATCTTACACGTGTAGCTTGGGTGGTGTGTGAAACTCGAGATGGATCTGGGTTCGTGGGGGATTGCAGGGTCAGAGGGCCCGTTGTCAGATCGAACTGGAGGCATTGCGACCCCAATCCCCGACTTTGCAATGTTTTCGACCTGACAACAAACAGTCGGCAAAACTCGCGGATATAGAACGAAGAGGGCGCCCATCCCATACCGTTGTCTGTTATTGTTTCGCACGAAGAGGGACACAACGAATAATCAAGTGAATAGTGAGTCCAAACGCCATTGCTACAGGCGTGGCGCCCGGGCAACTTCACGCCAACACCAGCAAGGCAGTGGAGGAGACCGCCCATCCTCAATAGCGGTGCGTCAGAATAGTCTCCCTGCAGTGTGTCCTAGAGTTCTTCCCCTGTCGTCAATGGCCTGATTTGTTGGAGGAGCTCGGGGATAGGAGGGGAGATAACGCCTGCGAAGATCGCCATCTTCGAACTTGTCCCCCACCTCTCCTCCTTGGGCCAGCAAAACCAGGCCGCATCAGGCCAGTCGGTGCGACAAGCTCATCGAGCCGTAGCTGCTCAGCAATGTCCAGTTCCCCCAGAGCGCACTTACGGCGCAAAGTCGCAGCAGCAAGCGATGGTAGAGAAAGGGAGCGGACAAGAGAGAGAGAGAGAGAACAAGAAAAGAAACATAAACATATAAAAAACAACAAGCATACACAACCGACAACATCACACACAAACCAGCAAGAAAGAAAGCAGCCGCTCGCGCAACACATGGAGACAATAATAGACGCGTCGCTCGTTCTCGCAGCAGTCGCGACATGTATGTATCAAGATTAGGTGCAGTTGAACGGCCAAACACTCAGAAGGTGTCCTTTAAGGGCCAGGAGCTCATATACTCGAACGCACAAAAAAATACTGATAGGGCCGACGTACCTGCACTGAGAAAAGGCCACGCCCAGAAACGCGCACGATATGGTGACATTTGTTATACATTTGATTTCGGTTGCAGCCGCTTGAAAATCAGCAGCGGTGCATCGACCATCCCGAGCCTAATTGCATACTCTTTCTTGAAAACGACTTAGGCGTATTAAAAACCGTGTAGTATGAGTGACCGCATCAAACACAATGTCGCGGTCCCGTTCGAGACTCTGTATTGCAATGTATCCGACGATTCTAGGACCACGCACCTGCAGGTGATGGGTGTATCAAGCAAGGTGCAACTGGTTTCCGAAGCAAAGCAGAGGCCACCTATCCCATACGTCTTTCTGCTGTTGCAGCAAATGCAGCAAGCATTTCCGCCGCAATAGCTCCCAACTGGACAGCACCAGCCACGACAACGAATTGTAGCCCACAAGCAACGTATTCGATCCAACGAAATCGTTGGAAACGTTGCCAAACAGCCAACACAACACGAAAGCGACCGTTACGAGAAATCCGACAGGCGATCACCATGTCCGGCGGCAAAGAACCCGATGGGGATGGCCACGGTAACCTACCACTTCCGAAACCACTCCAAAACGGGGCAACCTGCGCTTAAACAAACCAAAGGAAATCCAACTGCTCAAGGGGGAATCCAACTGAAAATTGTCTACAACCAACCAATGCGGAAACCTGGAGAATTCGATCACAGCCCTGGCCAAGTGTTTCTCAGTGGGCAGAAGCTTATTTTAAGACCAGCGTACTACATGTAAAGAACTACCTCCAATATATGTGCATGCGTCGTCCCACCACATGGTTTGCGCAGCGCCTTGCTTCTATGTCATAATGAGCGTCAGCAAGATGCACCTGTATCATGTTGCTGCTGGCTGTAATCCGTAAGCGTGGTTAGTTGTCTTGCACATCCGCCACTGTATCTCGAGGTCGAAAAGTGCTATGTGCAACAGGGGAAACATGCTAGCATGTGCGGGCACAAAAAAACAGAGGCCTGGGGGCCAGGTCGATACTGGTCACCTGGTCGCTGCTGCGCGCCCCACGATCCTTGATCTGTAGATACGTACTATGCGAGACAATTGTTGGACCAGCGTGGCAGCAGCTCGAAGCTCCGCTTCGGTGGAAGTGGCACCAGGGAGGAAAACGGACCCTTGTCGAAGAGATGCGAACTCTCCGGAAGCCTGGTCCCAGCACGAGATATGACACCCACAGGCTGCTAGGGGACCTTGTTTGCCTCCGGATTCGAAATGGAGACTGGCACTGGAATCTGAAGTGGGATCGCCTCGGTCTCGGATTGTCTGCGTCGCCATCGGGTCGGCCGCTGTGTTACCCTCTCTAGTTTGCGTCAGATCCAGAGACCCCAGCGTCGGGCTGCGCGGAGGTGTAACTCGTTCCAAACCCCAAAAACGCGTGCCCCAAGGGTGGAAACCACAGCCCTGTAATAAAGCGGCTTGATCCAGAGCGCACCGCTGATCCAGCCCACCACTTCTGGTGAACAGACATCTAGCGTCTCTCGCATACCAAGATAGATCTCGCGTATTCAAACTGCTGGTGAACAGACTTTGGCGCCCATGGCCTTCGGTGGATCCACGCTGTTAGAGCACGAGCTCTCTTGATGGTCGGGAGTGAGATCGGTAATGCACCACGTGTGGATGTCATCCACGAATGCCACAACCCTATATGCACTCCATGACTTGCAAGTGGTGGAACCCAGGCTGAATACACCACTCAGCAGCCCATTATTCGTAATCTAGACACGAACGACTCGCTGGGTGCATTCCGTCAAAGATCGGCACGCATTGGCATTCGAGAATTGTTTCGCACTCCCGTAGCCAGGATGAGGCCGCATTGACACCCGACATCAACTGCGGGTTTGAGCCGCTCCCTGTGGCAAGCCGCCCATGGATAGCCATCAGGCGCGCCCAAACTGAAAGGCACCCTGCAAGTGCTTCAGCACAACTCCACAGACGGAGGCCCGCGAAGTGCGATGCATTCGCATGAGACCGAGGAGGCCGTCTTTGCGCGGCGATAGCAGCCCAAATTCTTCATGTTGTGAATCGAACATATCAAGACGGCGCGTTTAAAAGTTGTCCCTTAGACTTCGTGAACTTTGTCTGGCGCTTTCGACCCCCCAGCTGAATCTGTTAGCCAGAGGCGTTCGGTTCAAAATTGTTTGAGCCGACATTTTTTGCGCACCAATATGGGCGCGGACATTGCAACGCAGCGAGGAGGTCAGCGTATCCTGCGAGACGCGAGTGCGATATATTCAAATATTCAGCCAGAAAGATGGAGCATGAGGACGCAAGGTGCCGAGAACGCGCGGAGATACCAGAGTGCCCATTTGACAGAGGAAGCAGACAATTATGCAGAGTGGCTCGCAGCCGAGGGTGGAAGGTTGCCGTTTCTGAAACCTGCCCATCGCTTCAAATGTTTGACTGGCGGCGCTCGATCTCGCGTCCGCCGCGAGCAGCGTCGTGCTGAGAGCAGTCCTGGGCCTGCGCCCACGTCGCCCCGAATGCACCCGGGCGGGGCTCAACTGTCTGGCCCCTCGCCGCCCCGCGGGGGGCGCCCCTGGGCGCTGGGCCCCGGGCCTCGGGCGGCCCCAGCACTCGCGGCCACTCGGCCCCGACGGCAGCAAGACGGAACACCTCGCCGCAACTGCACGCGCACGGGCTTCGAATAGAAGATCCACTGCGTAGTTTGATGTGCCACAAAACGGCCATCTTCACGAAGATATCCGTATATCGATGGGCTTGTACACGGTCGCCGTAGATTCGACGAAAAATCAACATTGGGGTTCATCAATTATGCAATCGATCTCCTACTCGAGAGCTTCCGGGCGCGCGCGGACGGCCTCTGCCCGCCGCCCGCGGGCGATCGAGAGTCGGGGGACTGATTCTGGTCGCGCGGCTTCCTGTCTCTGCGGGCGGGAACATCTGTCGGCCGCCGCGCGAATCCAAGCGGCGGCGCGGCAACGAGGGGGCGCAACGAAGCAAACAGAAAAATAAAGGGCGACTGGAAGGAGTCGTCCGACAGCAGACGCGGTTCGCCGGGGCCATCCACCACGAGCCGGCGCCGCGCGCGCACACCTGGCACTCCTGCTGGCGGATATCCTTCGGCGTCACTTCACGTCTAGCACGTTGCCCCGCTGCCGCCAGCACTGCGTTCCGCGCGCCATTGCCCGAATCCCGACACGTTCGATTCCCGCAACGGGCGCCCCCGTGCAGCCAGCTCCCCGGGGCGGCAAGTGCCCCGGCCGCGCAAGAATGCGCGCGCGTCTGCGGTCAGCGACCCTGTGCGAAATTATTCCTGCACCTCCTTCAGCCAGGCATCGTCACATCGTTCGCACTCTCCCAGCCCCGTCACGCCCTGGGCGCCGCGCGCGGCTCCACCCCGCAGCAGCGATTGGCCGTGCAGCACGGGCGGCAGGGAGGTGCACTTTCGCGCCGCCGAGATGC